CTTAAGTGGAGAGCAAATGTTTTGAGAATGATGAGGGCAATAAATGTACAAATGTGCTTTAAAAAAAAAACCAGTTACAGTCTCTTGGTGGGGCAGCAAGTTAATTTTTTCTTAAATGCTTGGTAACGTGGCAGACCAGCCAAACAGAGGACGGCCCTCTGTGAGACCGATGGATACAATGGCTATAACAATGCACTCAATCTCCGCATGGACTGTGAGGCTGGCGCAGGCCCCGGTGGGATTCTATTCTGCTGCGCCTGGAATCGCTGTGAGTCAAAACTGACTCAAGAGTATCTAGCAACAACTTTTTCTTTAAGAGCTACAGCCTCAAAAACCCACAGGGCCAGTTCTACCTTGTCCTATCGTGGAAGGTTCCTTAACCCCTGTGTCAGCTCTCTTCAACATCTTAGTAACGCACGAGCCACCACGGGCAGACATTAGTTGGCGCGGCATGAGGTTCATCGGCCGGGAACTGAAACCAGGTTTCCTCCCTAGGAGACAAGAATTCCATCACTGGGTCACTAAGGCCTCTGTCCTTCCTCTCCACCACCCCCACAGATGGCACTTTGTCACTGCAGTGGGAAGGAGTGGCAGCAGAGACATGTGGTCTCCATCCAGCCCTGGCCACGTGTCAGCCTCACCACCGATGAAAACCAACACAAACCTGAGTTCCCTAAAACCTCACGGCTGAGATTGGGACCCCTGTGTGTTGAACCGCGCAAGTGTTCTTCCTCAAAATACCACCACTCCACCCCACGCCCAGCTAAGTCACAATGGATGGTCCATTCAGCTCTGGGCAGGTTTCACATTGAGAAACGCAACAGGACAGGGCATGGGAGGGTCTGGAACAATCAGGAAAAGGTGTGTGTGTGTGTGTGTGTGTGTGTGTGTGTGTGTTGTTGTTGTTTCTCCCGACATATTCCATCTGTATGCTGCACAAATAACCAGACAAGCTAGACTATATGAAGAAGAACGTGGTATGAGGATTAGAGAGAAACTCATTAACAGCTTGTGATGTGTACATGAGATAACTTTGCGTGCTGAGAAGGAAGAGGACTTGTTGCTCTGTGTTAAGCTGGGTTGACTAGAGAAACAAATCCAGTGACGTATAGATGTGTAAGAGAGAGCTTTATGTTGAGAAGTAATATATATCAAGCAAACATCCCAACCCAGTCCAGATCAAGTCCATAAGTTCAGTGCTAGTCCATAAGTCCCTCTTCAGACTGATGCAGCCACATGCAGCAGTGCAGAATGCAGGAACATCACTGCTGGTGGGGGCAAAGTCTTGTGGATCCAATGGCAGTGATGGTATCACAGGGCTCTGGCAGCTCCCAGCATGGCTCTTCAACAGGAAGGGTCCTGAGGACCCTTCTTATGAAGGGCCACACCCACAAGGAGAGATGATCAGGCTGTGACCTGATTGAGTCTAGACTCCACCCCTACTCCACCTCTATACAGGGGTATCCCCCCAAAATGGAATTGCACTGGACAGAGAAGTTTTCATAGTACACATTTTTCCCACAAGGAGATCATTGAACAACTCTGAGTTAGTGCGCCCAGTGGTGTCACCTGGGAACGTTCTCTCTGGTCACAGTGAATTTTTTCATAAAAGCAGTTTCACTCCAACTTGGTTTTTTGTCATGACCCATTTGAGAAAACAGTGTACAACTGTGAAATTGTGTTTACTGCTCAGGAAAAATAGCACTGTTGTAATGTTGAACACAGCTTACAAGGACAGTACTATGGGGGAAAAGAAGTGTACGAATGGTTTTCTCATTTCAAAAAAGGTGAAATGTCGATTGATGACAAACCTCATTCTGGACATCCATCAACTTCCTGAATGTACAAAAGTGTCAACTTGGAGTTCATTCCACCAGCTCAGACTGTTAACAAGCTTTCTATTTAGAGCTTCTGAAAAGATTGCATAACGGTGTGTGACCAAAAAAAGGCCTGATTTGTGGCAGATAGAGGACTGGTCTTGCCACCATGACAATGCACCTGCTCACTCAGTGTGCCTGTTTTGGGAAAAACCCAGCATGCCTCTCTTGCCCCAGGCACCTTACTCACATGACCTGCTCCATGCGACTTCTTTTTGTTTCCTCAAATGCAGAGGGACATGAAAGGATAGAAATTTGACCACAGAGAGAAGGTGAAGAAAAAAACAAGGGAGGTGCTGTCAGCCATCCAAACAGATGAGTTTGAAAAAGGTTTTCAAGAGTGAAATCGCAGATTTGACCAATGTATTAAGTGTAATGGAGACCACTTTGAAGGTGATAAGGTTGTTTTGTTATATATATTACATAGCTTTGAAAAAAGATCTTGTTTTTTTTGGGGGGGGGTACCCCTCGTATTATCAAGTTGACATGAAATTAGATCAAAGACTACAACCTGCAGTATGGATGACACCTCAACGTAAGAAAACAGTAATCCTCACAAATAGACCAATGATAATATTGTAATAAAGGGAGAACAGATGGAGCTTGACAAAGATTCCGCTTTACTGGGATCTACAATCAAGGCCCACAGAAGCAGCCACGAAGAAACTGAAGGACATTTGCATGGGGGCAAATTTGCCACAAGAGACCCCTTGAAAGTGTTCAAAAACAAAGATGTTCTTTTGAGGGCTGAGGTACACCTGACCTTAGCCATGTTGTTTCCAATCACCTCATTGCGCATGTGACAACTGGGCAATACGCGAAGATGGAAGAAGAATCAATGCTTTTGAATTATGGGGCTGCCCCAACAGCTTCCACGCTATAGGGTACTCAGTAGTGCGCTAGTGATTTGCTGAATTGTTACTAGACCCATCACAATTCTCTCAGGTTCAAATGGTCTTTTCCCATCTGTCTTTGTTCTCGAGTGTGGCTATCACAAACATACCCCAAGTGGGTGGCTTTCATGAAATCTATTCTCGCCGTTTAGGAAGTATGAATTCAGGGGACTACGTTTCTCAAAAGATTACCTCTCCCCTCTCTGTCTCCTCTCGGCCTGCCTTTGGGGAAATCCTTGTCTCTTTTCAGTTTCCATTCCTGGGTTCCTTAGCAAACTTCCGTGGCATGGCCTCCACCCTCCCTATCTGTGCTTGCACGCTCAGCTGCCTCTTCCACCTGCAGTGATAAGCTTAAGACATACCCCCAGGGGTCCTCAAACTA